GTTATGGTTAAGTAGGTCGCCCTTGAAATGTCTAGAACTGAGGGCCGAACACTTCTTAGGCCGACCTAATGGAAACCTTAAAACAGTTTCTTAGTGACGATCAATAACAAATGTCACAATGCTTAATGCTCGATAAATAATTTAAAATTCAACGATTCGATTGAATCCTTATATAATACAATATGAGCTCAATGTAGGGTAAGAGCGAGCTCTCAAAATCAGTGGCACGGGACTGGCCCACTTTCAAGAGTATAATTTTTCAAAAAAAAATAAAATAAAAATACACGTGATAAACGCGATTTTTTTTATAGTGCCTACTATTTTAGATTGTGAGCAGAAGTAAGAACACCCGTACGTTTGCAAACAAATTTTCACGCACCGATGAAAAACTTCACAGAGACTCGATTGTAATATCGCGTTTGATTTAGTCGGCGCACCGGGAACGTCGTTTTTTTCTAGTAACATCCCGAATAAATAGAAAAAAAAAATACCGAACACCGTACGCTATGCGCTCCGCTCGGAGTGCTATTTCCACACATCCCACGAACCGCCTCCTGTAAAACTGCCGCGGCGCGTTTACGACACCCGTCAGCCGTCCGCGGTATCGGCGGCTATTTTTCCCCGGACCTCGGGTCCGTCTCGAAGGCCGCGTCCGGGCCCGGTCCTGTCGCGCGCGTTCGCAGAGCGCGATTTATTCGCGCGCGTTATTCGGCGAGGAGGGGGGGGCGAGCGTCCCCAGCTTTTACCCCGAAATTCCGCGCGTCTCGATGACCCGACGAAAACCCGCGGGTACGCGCGACAGTCACAGGACACGGGCGTACGGTCCGGCGCAGACAAACGGCGTCGCGTGTAAAAATACGGGACGAGAGCGGATTTCGAAATGACGTAGGCCGAAATTAATCATTTTCTCGAAACGGTATTGATTACCCCGCACGGGCGTTCCGCGGGGACGGGGGACGGGGGACACGCGCACACGCGCGAAACAAGAGATCGTTTACGTGATCAATACTGCGCGAATTAATTGAACGTCGCGCGAGAATGTCCGCGTCCGACCGACCGACCGACCGACCGACCGACGTGATATACGCGATGTACGCACAGCCGCAGTACACGGCGAACGCAAGGACACGCCGTATCGTTCTTTTTCTTTTTTTTTTTATTAAATTATTCAAATAACTCACGCGCGTGTTATACGAAATATCGTCAACGGCGGTGTCGCCGCGAATTGATTACCGTGAATAAATCGCGCGGCGCAATCCGTTTGTCGTTCGGTCGTATTGTTTCGCGCGAAACGCGCCGTACGTAAACTCGCGTCCGTGTCATCCGTGATATCGTAGTGGACGCAGAAGGCCGTGCGTTTCCCCGACGCGTTTGCATCGTTTGTTTTGTCGTGATTTTTTTTTTTTTCCACTAGGAAAACGGATTCGGCCAGAATTTGTTTCGGCTCGACTGCGTGTAAGTGATCACAATACGAACTATTTTATACTGCGCGTATATACAACACGTTCGGGCGTATAAATTGGACGTGTTTTCGCGTTGACGTTTCTCGCCCCCTTTAGTATTTATGTTTTTTTCAGACAGTCCAGCATAAATCGGTTCAAACGTCTGTAATGATACGTCTTTTCGTACGTCTAGTTTCAATGGAAAAAAAAAAAAAAAGAAAAAAAATCGAATAATTTAATATAATTTAAACTGTTACCCGACAATAACATCGAGATTGTTTCGATGTCTACAAAATCTAGATAATAGCTACTATCAAAATTCGTTATCCTTCTATACATTTATTACGGAAACATAAATAAAGATACCGCTATAATAATAACCCGGTCACGCGCTACGGCCGTTCAATTTAATAGTTTAAATACCTATAGCTCAAAGGATGTATTATTATAATTCAATGTGTTCAATGTTATTTCCCTTTTTTTCAGACGATAAAGATTATTTCCCTTTTTTTCAGACGATAAAGAACCATTGGAAGATTATGTGCATAAACAAAGAATTTTTGTTTTTGTTTTTTTTTTTTTGTAATAAAAGCGGTATTGTTAATGTGTATTGTGCATATTTAAGTATATTTTTTTTTTTTTATCAAAAGTATGAATTCAAATTAATATTGAAATTCTACTAAAACAAGAACAATTGAAATCTGTTTTGTTATTCGAAACTAACACAATGTTGAATTTAAACTCTGTAAAATATCTTTTTACCGAACTTTGCTCAGAATCGTTTTCGTATGGTTGTTTTTGATGATTTTTTTTCAGTTTACAAACAACAGTCTAATTTCGACTATAGACCTTTTCATACGACGGCGTAAACAAAAAAATGTAATACGCATATTTCTCGACCTAACATGAACAATATTATATTATTGTAATACGATAACGTAAAAAAAAAAAAAAAAAAAAAACAGTATATAAATTATAATATAAAAACGGTACGTATCGAATCGATTACTATTATTATTTATTTATTTATTATTTTTTTTGTAAAACTCACATTATTATAACGATATTCACGCACCACCGACTATTCCCCCCGAAAAAAAAATATATCATTTTTTTAAATAAAATTCAAGTCGAAGCCGACCCCCGAGGGAAACGATGAGCCCTCTGTGCAGCAGTACATGTTCCCTTATTAAGTTATTGCCGCGGGGATGAACGATGTCGAAAACATTAAGTCAGGGTGGTTTTGGGCGGAAATTGACCCAATTTAACCCCACGACAGTTGGTAAAATATATATACGATGTAACTAATAAATGATTACGGACAACGATAACTCGCGCACGTGACGAACGGTCCCACGCACGATGCCAACCGTGAAAACAGGATCCAATTTTGCGTTTATAGTTTTTTTGTGCGAATTGGCGGCAAAACGCTTTTATAACGGTGTGGCGGAACATCAATAACATTGTCAGTGTACGGTTTTCGTCCGTAAAAAGCAGAAAATTAGAAAACGAAAAACTATTCGAAATGAGAATTTTATGGTCAGTTTTTTTTTTTTTTTTTTTTGTAAAAATGATAGCAATCTAGAATAATGCGCCGTGTGTATAAAAGCGCCAAATGGAAAGACGCTATGTAAAAAGACGTAAAAAAAAAACATTTATTTCGTCGAAAGAGCTAAGTCAAAAGAGCTAATGAAAAGACGTGTATGCAAAAAGTGTTTGCACGTATATTTTAGATTCTGGGTGGAACAAAGAAGCTTATGGTTTTACAAAGATCTGTGCCGCAACTTTTCTACCTGAAGACTTGCACAAACTTCTACGTGTAGCACCTTTTACAAAACATAATAAACCTAATTAACGATTTTTTTTTTTTTTGTGGACAACTTTTCAACAGGCCATTTAACTCCAACTTTTAATTACAGAAATGTTTCTAAAAGGAAATTTCACTATCGAGGTACTTAAAAGAGGTGATTTTTCGATCTTCTCGGGAGTTTTCTCATCAAAATTGAAAAACCGTGATAAAACATGAGAAAACCGAGAAAAACTTAGAAAAATTGGGAAAATCGGTATATCATTAAACAAACTTTATTACAGAAATTATACAAAGCCTAATTAATTATTTTTTTTACTATAAAATGACATATATATATGTGTATTGACAAAGCATCACTATCAACAGAACTCCGCTCAGAATCATTTTTTCGTAACCAATGGTTTTTCGTTGCTTACGATTTATCGTATTCCCGTCTATATCCTATCTTCCTAAATTTCCACCTACATAAGCTGTACCCATACCCACTATCTATTTCCATTTATATATATATATCATAAAAAGAGCTGACACTAGGGATGAGAGTGGCCGCTGTTGTAAGTGAGAATTTGGGAAGTTAGCATAAGGTTATTTCATTTTTATCTCTAAATAAAAATAAACCATTGCTTGAAAAATGACTTCCGGGTGTAGTTCGGTAATACATAAGTGCCGTAATTTTTTTTTGCGATTTTAAATAAAATTTGACTTCAAAACGTTTATTTAAAAAAAAAAAACGTTCAATAATTTTGAAAATGTTACCATATCTATGTAAGTTCAATATAAGCATTACTACAAAATTTCAAGTCTCTAAGTGTATTTATATCCGAGTTATAGAAAAAAACTCCCAAAAATTTAAATTCCTTAAAAGCTCAAATGTTTTGTTCGTTTTACCGTAAGAAAATAAATCAAAAAGGCAACAAAAAAGGTATCTTGCGACTTTTCAATAAAAATCATTTTTCCTATTTGAAAATGTTGTCCGTGTTTTTATAAAATAATAAAATCGTGGAACTGTACGTTTTCCTAACTTCCGCTACACTAGCAACATACAGACATCTTTCAAACTGAAGTCCGCTGTTTGCCATCTCCATTTCCCGTACACATCTGGTTCGTGACAAACTTCTTTTATGTCAAAAAACAGTCTAAAAATAATTTATATTTATTAAAATGGGTAATTCATATCTATTTTTTAGTTGATTAAATAACTTTAATATAATGTTCTGAAGGCGATTTTACTATTGACATCACATTCATAAGATATCATTACAATAATAGATAATAAACAATAATACAAATTTTCAGCCACAACGAAATTACCATTTTTTTGATTTCATTCTACATCTACTAACACTGGATATTTAATGGGGTGGTACGTTAGAGAGGTCGATTTTCGATTTTTCTCAACAAATGTCGATATAACTCAATAGAACTTTGTTTTTTCGTAAACATTGGTTTTTAGTTGCTTACATTAAATTATCTATAACGGTGGCTTCATCCGTTCCCATTATCCTAGAACGTACATGTTTTAGCACTTGATAGCTTCAAGTGTTTAGATCCAAATTCTGTTCTTACAAATGTTCACCCACTTAGTAGATAGGTCTAACTTGGATTGAGTTAAATCATTTATTTCTCGGCTTTCTCTTAGATCTCGTTGGAGGTCTCTGCTCTGTTCTAGAACCTTTTTGTACTGAATTTAATGCTAAATTTTTTTTCGAATTATTGCCATGTTTGTTTAATTACCCGTATTCTTCCCACTAAGTTCCTGCTTCGGCCTTCAGTTGCGGTGCGACCACTTTTATCCATTTCCGTTTGAGAATTTTCGCCTCCTCCAACATCTCACAAACTGAACATAAGAACTTTGCTGGATCCTCCTCCTTCTTGCCCGAGAATCCTGGCAACGAGTCTCTCGCTGTTTTCAAATTATCTCGGGGTAATAAATACAATTCCCAGCCCATTCTCTTATAAAGGTGTTTGACCACGTACTCGCTCCGTAGTCGCCGCTGGTGTTTCCGGTTGATTACCTGTGGGAGTGTTCCCCGTATTGATATCTTGAGGAATCCTCGTTTTGCATTCTATTTTCTATGTCTAGCGCATTGTCTTTTGGAATTCTCCAATCATTTCCTGAATTGTTTCTCTTAAGGCCAGAATTTCCCCTGCGTCCTCTGGAGTATTTCCAAGGGTCGTTTGAGGTTGTGATGGGATTACCATCGGAATATCAACCACGAGGTTTTGCGGATTCCGTTTTTCGATTTCCCGCATGTGTTGTTCCGAGGTTAATATTAAGTCGGCTTTCGTACCAGCCGTCCCTACCCATCTTTTTTGCGACTCCTGCATTAGGTCAGGTTTCGGTCCCTTACTATGTATAGTAGTTTAGGACTCACCTGTTAGTAGTAAGTACCTTTCCTTAACCGAATGCGCCGATGTCACGACGGCGTGAGTAGTTGAGTAACATTATTACAAAACACTTTTTAAGCAGTAACAACTTAAAACTTTTAATACAATTAATCACAAGGTAGTTAGTGTGGTAAGTGTTCTCGCCGGAACGTCGCGAACCGGTTCATTGTTCGCGAGTGGTCATGTGAGCGGAAGCCGATCCCACCGCGGCAGGTCGTGCCGCGACGCTTCACGCCACGATCGGACCGCGATATTATTATTAAACAATCGTCGTTTTGTTTTGCCACTTTGTCAATCTCCTCATTTAGCCTTTCTTTGTCGCCCTTTTCTCTTATAAGATTTGCTGAAATCGTCGCTTCAAGTATTGTAATGGTGTTCTTATAAATGTTCACTCACTTAGTTGGTAGGTTTAACTACTTCAAATTTTTAATGAGTTTTCATTTACGGTATGACATGTTGATCAAGTATGTTCTTTGTTAACATACACATCACATTACAAGAAATTGTTTGATTATTATTTATTTGAGTATAACTTAACAATTTTGCTATTAATTTAAAATATGAGCAAAAAATTAAACAATGACGAAAAAAAAATTTTTTTTTATTCGGAAAAATTGATTAAAATTCAAATTTTCAACACGGACAGAGGTAGTTTGAAATTGTTTCTGAAAAACAATTTTTTTATAACATTACATATTTTTATTACCTACTTAATATCAATTAAATATGAAACTAAATTGTTTTATTTTAATTTTTTAAAAAAATAGGGAGGGGTGTGAAATATCAAAGGATATCATTGCCCTGCTTCTACAACATATTCCATAATACCATGTTTTTCCCACCAATTACCAAGATTTTCTATAAGATAACCAACAATTACTTTAAAGATTACCAAACATTTGTACACAGATTTCTGTTATTGATTTATCCTTTGAAAAATATCCCACTACGTCGAAAATAGCTACGAAAGAAAATATCCTACATTAAAAAACAATGTATAAGTGATCTAAAGATCGGTACTAAAGATCTGCATGATCAGGTTTTTTTAAATTTAAATCTTTTTTTTAAAAAAACACACAAGGGTATTTAAATTGCATATTTATTACTGGTTTTTATACACCAACCAAAAATTCAAGCTGGACCGGGTCATCGAACAATAATTTCAAATCAGGCTGGGATTTTATACGCCACAAGAAAAATTAGATTAGTCCAAGAACTGTAGGCACTTGCTGGTTGATTTTATCATATAAATTTATTAGACAATAAAAAAAACATGATATTTTATAATAAATTAGAGAATTCTCAATACCGTTACATTAGCACCCCCAATTTGGAATTTCATTTTAAAAATTGCACTTACGATTATTGTTATTCTATTTGAATACATATTTTGTAATTTCGAATTTATACACCACACAGAACCCGTGAAAATTGATGCTTACTACAGTGGTAATACACTTAAAGTTGGTTACATAAAATTATATGATTTTGGATTAAGACGAAAAAAAAAATAAAACGGAAAAAATTACGAAAATAATATGCTTTTATTATTTTCAATTTTATGTATTTATTGTAATTCAGTTTAAATGATTCGTATGGTTTTATGAACTTGAAATAAAGAGAAACGATTTATTTTTTCCTTTTATAACGTGGTAAACGTTATGTATTGTAATGGTGTAAACGTGGTAAAATTTTCAAACAATGTTAGCCATTTTTGATCTATATATGGACATTTTAATTTTGCGAGTTTTGTACGTAATTATTATTCGGTAGATACTCTGTAAATAAAATTGTTAACTAAATAGAGATACTTTAAAATTTAACAGGAGGTTTTTTACAAGTTGTACTCTGTGTTCAAAACAAAATCAAATTGAGTGTAATGTAGTATTTTTTTAAATTTCTTTTTATGAATTAAATCTATATTATTCAGCAACATTATACACTGAACTCCGCTCAGATTCGTTTTTCGTTACCAATGATTAATATTTACTTACAGAAATACAATAAACTTTCCCCTGTATCCTACCTTCCCAATCGTGCGAATTATGACCGTTTTTTTCATAGTATGGTTCACCTTGACGATATTTAGTATTGAATTTTAAAAACAAACTCAATATATTAACATTGTTTACATTATTTTTCACTATTCGTTTCGCTCATTCGAATTTTCTGTTTTCGTTTAAAAAAAATATGCTTACGTTAGCTTTTTCCACTTTTCGGAATCACTTGTTCAACGACTGATTGCGCCTGAAGCCCAATCAGTCTGTGCAGAGACGTCTTTGACCGGCAGCGCATTGATCGACGAAGCCGTAAAATTCGGGCGCGAGAACGAGTACGGAAGCATGGATTCCGTGTACACCTGTGCAAACGTCCGAGACGGATATGATTTTTCAAAGAAACAAAAAACGGACATACTTCGTACCACGGTCGGGTTACTGTGGTCGGTCAGAAGTTTCAGGAAACGCAGTATATAGAGAGAGATATAATTTATACCTGAAGTAAGTGACGATAAGCCATTGTTAGGAAAGATGCTGTTGAACTTTCAGAGAAATGTAATAATACGTGTAGTTACGGGACATGCCAAGACATAAGGTTTTTTTTTTATCGACTCTGTGTTTAAAGTATAACGCTTTTCTAAATGCGGTTTAGATTTATACCCCCCCTCTCCCCCTACAATACGAAATCCTAGCTACGCCACTGTATTGCATTGTTATACTCAAAACGAGTCAATTGAATTATTATTATTATTTTTATTACGATGCGAGGACGACGGTACGGTGAATTTCGACGGAAAAAGTCAGCCCGGTGGCGGCGGGTCCCGACTTTTAGCTCTTGCGGCACCAGAGGTCGTGTTTGAAATCGAATTACGAGTGTAATAACACGCGTACGTGCGGCGTATACGATAATGATAACAACCGGATGCGGTGTGCGCGTATACGATAATAGCAATGCAATAATTGATTAGAAAACGGGAAATCGCGGCACCGGATCCCGCGGGACGGGTGGGAAAACCGCGCGAAAACGTCCGGCCGCAATTAGATTATTGTTGTCGTCCGCTAGGTGGCAAAAGGGCGAGGGCCGGTCCCTCGGGGGAATGTGTCGCCTGTCACCGTACACACTGTATATTATCTAGTGGTACACACGGAAAAAGCACCGACGTGATGCGGTTCATTGAATTATAACCGCAATGTTATTATTCCGTTAGGATAACAATATACAACGCTCGGCATGATGATGGGGCTCGTGGGCGACTCGCATAGTCACTTAAAAACGCGGTGACTTTTGACGGCCCGGTACGTCACCGAACGGTTTGACGTTGATTATGCAGTTAGATACGATTTGCCAGTAGATTATCGTTTGTCACATTGTCAAAGTCCGGGTTACAAGAGTTACCAACGTTCGAAAACGGACTCGACGACGCTACCGAAAACACGTACAATGTGTTATCGCCGGTAGTATGTAAAATATATTGTTTTTTGTTAGCGCGGACCAAATTTTCGGTACGTCGCGATTCGATTCGTTTTGTCGTAGCTCTTTAAATTAAAAATGCGCAATTGTAATTCCACGCGTTTCAATACACATCACGATTATTTGAACGTTCGCCGTAAATACGAAACGTATGGCGAAACGGTGAATAGCGATAACGGAAAAAAAAAACAATAAATCATCATCATTATACAAACTTGTATAATTTATTTATATTTCAAAACGTTATCACGAAATGACGTGTGTTACAATAATTGTTGTTATTTTCAAAACACGTGGCAATCGAATGACGCTCGTAATAGTGTTTTGTTCGCAATGGTTCGCATCGGTTAGATATTATTTCATTACTTTTATGAACCCAGTGCTTTCACAAATTCCATTACATTCTGAGCGCGGCGATGAATGCATCGGTTTTACGAAAATGTTTATTTTTCTTTATTTTTTTTTTGTCTTTGTGTGTGTGAACACTTTTCCAACTAGAAAGCCCGCTGCAATGCGTAAAATGTAGACTCTTTTTTCTGAAAGGAAATTTTCTTGGGCCGGTACTGTAGGGAGGTAATTTATCGATTTTCCCAAGAGTAGAAAAAACGGAAAAATCAGTACAATATTAAACTGACATTATCAAAGAAAATATATAATGCTCATTGAATTATTTTACCACATTATGACATATATACGAGTATTGTTGACAAAACATCACTATCAAATGAATTCCGCCGAGAACCGTTTTCAGTAAACAATCGTTTAGCTTTGATTAAATGTATACGCACAAGTATACCTAACCTAACAGTGGCCGCACCCGTTCCCATTATCCCGGGACGCGGTCTTTGATATACCTAACGAACCACCGCCGTGTTCGTTTGAAGTTTTTCAGTGGATGATATACTTTCCGGTATACGAAAATATAATGTTCGATGACGTCTTGTGTTGGTTTATCCAACACTTCCGCTGCGAGTACTCCCGGAACGCCGACGGCAATGACTTTCGAAAGTGCACTTATAAGTCCAATCGTTTATCCAATCCGTTCCCACGTCGCGACCGCTTCTGCGGTGCCATCGGCCGCGGTGCGGATCGA